GCGTCTGTGATAATAACAAAGGCCGCCTCTAGAGGAGTTCGCCTGCACACGTTGCTTGACCGGGAATGACTGCGGGTTCGGTGGCTAGTCATCAGACATGGTCAGTCGCAGGTTCTCTAACTACTTGGACAGGATTTGCATTTCTTTCATGGGCTCGTTTGGGAGATTACTGAGAGAAGGATTAGAGAGCGTCTGTTGAATGATGGTTGGCTCCGGGCTCCCGATGTTCGCCATTGAGGGCTGAAAGAGTTCAGCCTACTCCATGGCTAGGTCAGCAGCCTCAACTAGTTGGTATAGGCTATAAGCGCGGGCAAAAACGCTCAGAATACTCCGATCGTATGGTGGGAGCTGCTAAAGTCAAACCTGGCGTAGTACAGAGCGTGGTGTTGCCAACTAACGCACGCATGTGACGCAGCAACTGGGATGGCTTATTATTTCCCAATCGGATCCCTGACAGGAGAAACCGAATGCAGATCTCCTCGGAAATTGCCACGCGATGGCGGAGTGCTTCTTTGAGCACGTCGTACGGGTTATGCGCGGGGATATTCATGTAGATATCCCTGAAGTTTCTAAGCATATCGCGCGGGATTGTGGACAACAGCTTATGATACCGTGATAGTTGTCCGGTGATGCGGGCTTCGTGGAATCACGATTCCAGAAGTGCGAGGAACGCCGCGAGTTCCTCTGGCATGAACTCTGGGAACCTGAATTCTGGCTCAGAGTGCTTCACTGCATATTTTCGCTCGGGACTAGTCATACTTAATCGTGAATATATGATGTAGAGTTGTCGAATCGATTCTAAAAATATGACTAAATAGCGCCTAAGAAAAAAGATGCGTTGGAAAAACGAAAATGAGAAAATCTAATAGTAAGGGACCGTTAAACCAAAAACTATAAATAAATATGATCTAAAATTACGTAAACAGGAGCAGAACCGTAGAAATATATGTGCAAAGCATTTACTGGAAATGTAACCTTACTAAATAAAGATTTCTCCGAAAACAATTTCCAACGTGAAAAGAATAAAGTACGAGGGCTCAGCTATTTGTAGGCGTTGGTTTATCGGTACTCCGAGGTAATACAGCTATATCGCAAACCAGCGTTTGTAAGAAAGCAGAACTAGAAAGTTCACGAAACGGAGGAAGATTGTGTTGTTATAACCCGCAGAACAAAAGGGAGATGCAAAAGCGTGAGCAAGCATGCGGAAAGTGGAAGCAAACACGTGCTGACCAAATAGATAGCCTTGGTGTGGTAAAACAATGAGATGCAAAGGAGGAAGGGTACATTTAGACTGGGAGTTGGTTGATGAATACACTGTTACAATTTTCTGGTGGTAATTCTGTCCGCCGTACTTCTGAACCGCATGCTTAGTTTGTGTTTGACACAGTCCATTGAAATATCGATAAATTTGGGGTTCGCCTGAATAGCATATAGTATACTAATGCGTACCATTTTGTGATTACTTACCGCTAACACCTTTAATAAACAAACGACCGGATGCTTGTATTTTGGCATGTTTTCGGTGTATTTCATCAACACGGCTAACGAATTATACACTACCGTAGACATGGCACGTTTTGCTGCATGGTCCACGGTTTTCCGACCCGTTTGCATCAATTGTTTCACCCTTGCACTCAAAAGAAAACATAACTAAAACTTACAAATTTGTCATATGTATTGTCATCTGACAAATTTCGTTCCAATTCTTCCAGTTTCTCCAAGTTGAATTCACATTGAAGGAAATGGGTTGCAATTATACAGAAAAACATATTATGAATAAAATACATGTTTCACAGTTAGTTTACCTATTGATCATGGACACCTATTTCTATGTTCATAAAGACGCTTGGCCACAAACAGGACACTTAACTTGTTGCATTCGTTGTTGCAATGAATCTCAAGCGAGATGTGGATGACATTTTGAGAAGCTGAATAAAATTACGTTTTTTTTTAGGACTACTAAAATAATTTTCGGAAAAACGATAATGGAACCGAAATCAATAAGAATGAAATAAGTATATCATGAAAGTTTACTTGCTATCCGATGGACGCCGCTTTTCTCGAGGGGGTTCAACGATAAGCCACAAGGATAATCGAAGGACAGCGAGGAATGCCGTATAAGCAGAGACTGAAAGACTTTGTTATCTTCTCCTTGGATAGAGAAAGACTCAGAGGTGACTTGATAGAGGCATTCAAAATAATGAATGGCCTATCAGAGACGAATCTAGCAGTGTTCTTCGAGAGGAGGGAAAGCAATACTAGGGAGCACATGAACAAGCTGAAGAAAATGCGAACGAGACTAATGGTGCGTTCAAACTCCTTCAGCAACAGGGTAGTCAACTCATGGAATAAGTTACCACAAGAGCTGTTGGAGCTAGTGAGCGTACGTGCTTTCAAGAATGAGCTCGATAAGCGCTGAATGAACTTATTACCCGCAATAGACGCATAAGTAAAGGTCTGGAAACAGTGGTAGGTTGTTTTTTGGTTACTAACCACCCCAACAGAGGAACTTTTCCAAATGTGAGGTCTCTCGCCTGAACAAGGGTAGAAGATACTTTATCTTTCTCTTCCCTTGCAGAGGCGGAGACGATTGGGACGAGAATAAAACGTATAGAACTACAATATAGAACAATCGCAGTGATAAGGGCCAACACATGGCTTACTACCGAAGGAACTCTGAACGCTCGATTTGCCGTGGCCATCTCCTGTCTTGACTGACTGTCTCCAGTCTTTAGTTTTCAGGATTGAGGGCAGAGTGCAGGGTACCCGTTTATGACCCATCATCACTGGGTCAAAGGTCCGATCACAAGTGTTCGTTCCTCCGTACCCAATTCAGATGCCCATCCAGACGCCGTTTGAAAGCAGCGTCTGTCTTCTCTTCCACCACAATCGCTGGAAGGGAATTCCAGAGTGTTGCTAACCTACGCGAGAGTCGGTAGACTAACGGAAGACCAACTGACTGAAGTTTCCGCAACGTGAGAGAGTGCCCCCGCGTGCGGTGCTCTGTCTGTAAAGGAAAGTACTGTTGCAGCTCCGGGCCCATATCACCTCTCAGAATCTTCCTCAGGTAGACCAAATCTCCCCTGAGGCGTCGATACGCAATTGGGAACAGACCAGTAGTCTGTAGACGACCTTCATAGGTGGTCCCGCGTAGTCCAACAATGAGTCTAGTGGCAGCACGTTGTACACACTCCAACTAATCCAGTTCACCGGCTGTGCAGGGGCATGCCACCGCCCCACCATACTCGAGTCTTGATCTAACATGGGAAGCGTACAGCAGCCTGATGGCGTCCATCGTGAGCTAGTTGAAAGACCGCCAAATAGGCTCCAGAATGCTCCATGCACTAGCACAGACCCGATCGATGTTTTCTCGGGTCTTTAGTGAGGACGTACCATAACACCCAGGTCTCGTTCGCACGATTTGCTGCGCAATGTGGAAGTTGTACAGTACCTCTGAGTCAGTACGCCCGAAGTGCAGATGAACACACTTTGCTATGTTGACCGGAATAGCCCAGGTATTCGCCCACTAAGTAAGGTTGTTCAAATCCGCTTGAAGAGACCTTCGATCATTCGGATCCTTGGTTGTACGCTAGATTTTGATGTCATCCGCATACATGAGAGATGGGCTGCACAGCTGACCGGGCAGGTTGTTCACATACCACAAAGAGCAATGTACCAAGAACCGAACCTTGGGGGACCCCACTGGGAGCGGAATACCAAGCCAAGAGAGATTTCCAACACGGACGCAGAATTTTCGGTCGATGAGGAAGTCTCGCAGCCAATTCCCCATGACCACACCTACACT